TACATACTGCATCACCACCTATACTACATACTGCATTCCTACCTCTCTACATATTGCATTGTCACTAGTCATGCGTCCTACAGTCAGCATATGACCCAACTTCACGGCCGAGAACACCACCTTAATAAATTCTATTCAGACTGTGATGACCCAGAGACCATATATCGATATATGGTCTCTGGATGACCGATTACACTCGTATTTTCTGAGATTTTTTACGAATATTTCCCGTGGGTTTATGAATGAAAAGCTGATATCGCTGTACTTCCAGATTATTTCCCTATCTATGCACGTACTTGTCATAATTTTATTAACACAACTTGAGGTAATAACAGCCCGTTCACTTCATCTTTCGACGGTAGCGAGCTGACATGTTGACATGGTGTGCGCATGCGCTAGATATTTATAGTCTGTTTCTGCAGGAGTTTTCTACAAGCTGTGTGTTGTACTCTGGCAGCGGAAAACACGCAGTCGTTATTTATAACGTAGGCTACTTCCTAATATCACCGACACAGGTCTTCTAGGCATTCATGTCGTAATTTCTAATGGACTGATATACGAAGAAGTATGAGTGGTACGGCATGTATATATAAAGAGAGGGAGCATTAGTGTTTAGAGATGGATCTACTGCTCGAGTTCCAGGTATTAATAGGTTCAGTTCAAGCATACTCGATTCTCCAATGCCTAAGGTGTTTGTCAATACCATCTAACATTTAAATGAAACGAAACACAATGTGGTATATATTTCCATCTTCCCGTTTGATAATGATTAAACATCTAATTCTGAATAAAGTACGCCACTAAGAGTATATCATTGATAAACGATCAGGTTCTAGAGCAGAATTACCTTTGATGAGGTTATTTGTGGCCCCGTTGGATGATTCAGTGTTATTAGATATTATATGCACATTTTAATACCTGTCAGCTTTGGCTTTACAAGTTCGATAGCCTGTGCTTAGAAGTAATGAACGTGTTAGTCTCGAGCATAATAAGTCCAAGATAGTTATAGCTGTCAACATTTTCGAGACAGTGTGGACCAAGAGCATAGTTTAACAAGAAGACAAAGTCGTCGATAGGCCCCGCCCTTTGAAATATGTGTATAAGATCACAACCACTTAACATATAATCTTAAAGCCAGTGAGCACACGTGCTATTGAAATTTAAAAGACCAAACCAAATGAATCCTTCCTTTCCTTAAATGGTTTCTATACATATTTTCCGATGACGCGAATTAGTGATCATGATCATTTTCAAAACAGTAATTTCTATTTGAAAGCGATGTTACATTGATATAATAACCCTAAATTATTATTACATATAATAACCCTAAAATATTATTCCATGACAAAATAGAATATATTAAACAATTCCTGAGCTTATTTATGATGCTTTTTTTGCTTATCATGGCCGTAGAATCACCATTGACATCACACTATCCACCAAGTCACCCAGCTTGACTACCAGATCGGTTTAGTCGCCCCTCATCACAAGCAAGTGTTTGTTGCATAGACGATTCCCGAAAAATGTAATCTGAGTACAACGTACAATTTTATTTGAGTCGTGTGGCACAATCACCATTGACATCACACTATCCACCAAGTCACCCAGCTTGACTACCAGATCGGTTTAGTCGCCCCTCATCACAAGCAAGTGTTTGTTGCATAGACGATTCCCGAAAAATGTAATCTGAGTACAACGTACAATTTTATTTGAGTCGTGTGGCACACGGCTGAGTTTCGTATATCCCCTAAATAGACCCCGTATACCGTGCACCAAAAGGTGGATGGCAGCCTGAAACCTTCGATTTGGCAGGTATAATAATTTTTTGTTGCCTCCAAATATAAATAAATGGCTTCAGAAAAATCGATATTGAGACTTATATACAATAACAATAAAAACAAAGATAGCGTTATTTGTGTTCCATACGTGCAAGCGCGCGAGACGTGTTTTCAGGGAGTACTACATGGCTTGCAGAAAACTCATGCAGAAACAGACTATAGAAATCTAGCGCATTCCCACATTGAGGTCATGCCAGCTCACCACCATCGAAACAAGAAGTGAACGGTCTGTTATTACTTCCAGTTGTGGTAATAAAATTATGTAAAGTACGCGTATAGATAGGGAAATTACCGGGAAGTACAGCGATATCACTTTTTCATTCACAAACCCACGGGAAATATTTCTTTTCAAATTTCAGAAAAATACTAGGGCAATCTGTCACCAGGCTGAATAGGATTTATGAGGTGGTGATCTCAGTCATGTCCCTCGGCTACATTGCCACATGTGCAATATACTGCATTATAATGTGTAATACGTATTTCATTACCACGTGTACTACATATTGCATTAATTACCACGTGTACTACATATTGCATTACCACATGTTCTACATTTTGCATTACCGCCGCCTGTAGTACATATTGCACTACCACCTACACTTTGCTCTATGTTATGCCTCGCGTGGAATCGTAGAATTCGAGAAACACTGGAAAATTAATCTACCATTTTCGCGTGTCATTCTTTATCATATTTCAATTCATGCATATAAATATGGGGAATCATAGACCATATGTCGGGACATGTTCTCTAACCAGAGGCCATATATTTGGAAATTGTCTCTTGTGGAATGCATACTCTCGTGAACAACACTAAAATTTGTGTTCATATCCTATACACAGCGCGATACTTGTCCAATCATTTTGACAGGTTTGAGTCAAAATATGTTTTATAAGATTGTGTCTTACAGCTGAACGTGCTTAGCCTTGCGTCCCATTATCCAGAGTATATCATATACACTAGTCTGATGAATAACCACAATACATCCAGACATTTGAATGAAGGGAATGCAAGACACCATCCATTGTAGCTTTCTTTATCGTTGTGTCTAGGGTTGTGTCCAACACAACACTGTGTGTACCACGATAATACCATGGGTAATCGAGGTTGTTAGATATTTTGGCGGGAGCTGTGATCACATCGAGCATGACAGATCCGTCTGAAAATCTTCATTCAATTTACGGTTAAAACTTACCTCTAGTGATCTGGACAATTTTGTCAGAAATTATTCTGTTTTCAAAATAGAACAACCTCCTCAACTGTACTCTTCTCGTCCATATCTTCCGGAAGGGGAGGTAACTAATCGGCTTCCACTATAAAGAGCTTTTCTTCAGCCTGTTATGCGCTCAATATCCTCAGAGTGAGTGAGTGAGTGAGTTGGGTTTAACGCCGCTTTTAACAGTATTCCAGTAATATCACGGCGTGTCAGCTTAATGTGGGAGGAAAGCCCGAAGTTATGCAGGTCTCAGACGTTTACCACTTCGGTGAAACCCACGAGCACGGGTATGGTGCTGACAAACCTAGAAACATAATCGGGGCGAACCGGGATTCGAACCCACAATCATAGGTTTCTGGCCTGCCCAAGGGACGCAGTTCAGCACAGCGAATCGCGGCGCCTTAGACGACTGGGCCACCCGTGTCCCCAAATATCCTTAGATATTATCTCTTTAATAGTGATAATATATATCGATCTACAAAATATGTTTTACTCTTGAGATTCCTCCAATGTAACTGAATATTAAATAGTTGTGAAATAGATCGTGTACATATATTTTTTCTCTATTGTAGTATAATTATTTGTATGCATTAGGATGTGTAACTTAATGGTATTCATGATGCCTGTGTGACTGTGACACTAAATGAAGTCATGTGATAACTTCTGTATTTATAATTAAAACAGCCAATACGACACTAATATATATTCTTTTCAATACCATTTGAATTTTTGTTCACAGTCGAACGACTTAAATTATGATATTTCCCAACTTGGGAATGTAAAACATACGTTGATCAAAGCTTATTACAAACTATCGCATACACCTTATCAATATTCGACTTAATGGCCAATTGTATACGATAAAATTCAAAACATGTTTAAATTAAGGGCGATGGGTGTTTAGGCCAAGAGTTGTATGATAGCTCGTCTCATGTGTTTAGACCATAAACGTGTAGTTCTTTTAGGATTTCAAAACATTCTTAAACATATTTAGATCTAACACCTGGAATCATTATCATCACTATTTGATTGTGATTCATAAACACATGTTCATGCTATAGTCAGAATAAGGATATAAGGAAACTATATCCTTAAACATACTATGCTTAGAGTGAGTGAGGATGGTTTTACGCCGATTTTAGTAGTATTCCAGCAACATCACATCGGGTGACACCGGAAAATGGGCTTCACATTTTGTTCTCATGTGTAGAAACGAACCCGGGTCTATGGCGTGACGAGCCAACGCTTTAGCCACTAGGCTACCCCACCGCCCCCGCTATGCTTAGAAACAGTCCTGTTGAATACCAATTTGAATAATGTTCCTTTGTTCGAACCTTCACGAAAATTATTTTAATTGTTTCAATACAATGTATATGATATGATATGATATGATATGATAGGTGTACTATTAAATGGCCTGCACATAATATATAGAAGGTAACAACACGCTTAATATTGACATAAACTTGTTGCAATGTCGAACTTACTATTGATGCAAACATTCACAGCAGGTCAGAGATTTTGTCATTACTTAATAATTGATTCTACCAAAGTGGAATTATAAGTTACTTATCAATTTTCTCACTGAATACAACATGATTTAGCCAAGAATATATCGACGAGTGTTTATTAATATACACTAAAAATATATTAGTGATATGGTATATCAGAATAGTTTATTAGTTTTAAAGCATAGCATAGCATAGCATAGCATAGTTCAGTTGAATATATAACTATATAGATCATTCAATTAGTAATGTTGCCTCAAACATGGCTAAAAAAAACTTAACACTTTAAGCTTAATAGCTATGGCTATAAAAAGAATGGAATATAGTGTCGTCTTGTTTAAGAAGTGTCTTGTAGTGACAACTATCCGTCCTTGTTCTGAGCCTGTGTAGGACTGCGTGTTGGTCGCATACACAATGTAATACTGTGTTCCTTTTCTCAGGTATTGTCGGTACATCTGGTGCCACCTGGCGTGAACACCGACGGTTTGCAGTGAGAACTTTGAAGGAGCTGGCATCAAGGTCAACGGGTCTCGAGGCAAAGGTCAATCAGGAGGTGTCACACGTACTAGCGTCCATTGAAAATGAAGGGGGTTCGAGTTTTGACTGCAAAGGTGTAGTGTTCATTGCGGTGGCAAACATCATCAGCTCCGTGGTGTTCGGAAGGAGGTATGACTACAGTGATCCCCTGTTTCTGAAAGTCCTCGGTTGTATGGAGGAGAACGTCGCCAGCTTTGGTTCAGCTAGTATCCTCAACATCTTGCCTGTCGTCCGATATTTGCCAGGGGACATCTTCAAGTTTAAGAAGATTTTGGCCAATTTGGCGTTCACTGAACGCGAGTTCGTACAGCCCATGATCAATAACCACTTGGACAACTACGACGAGGACAACATACACGACTTCACCTCAGCTTATATAAAAGAAATGCGACATCACCAAGGAGAGGATACAACCCTGAGCAGTATGATAATATTCTTTTGTCAATAAAAGACAATATTTGGAAACGTTTTCTCATTACTCAAAATTCGTTAATCCCGTAATTCTTTAATCCGGCTTACTAGAACAAATCTATATGGAGTACCGTAATTCTTTAATCTGGCTTACTAGAACAAATCTATATGGAGTAAGGGGCTTTCATTATTTTCATGACATGAGTAACGAACCCACAAATATGGACACGTGTTCCTTGTGTTCTACAGTTCCTGATCTGCAGGCGTCAGTTCTCGATTTATTCGGAGCCGGGTCGGAGACGACAGCAACCCTCATCCGCTGGGCCTTGGCATTGTTCCTCAACTACCCGGATGTCCAAGAAAACTGTTTCAGGGAGATTGAGGAAAACATTGGTACGAGCAAGAGGCCGTCCATGGCAGATATGCCCAACCTTCCTTATGTAGAAGCGACGATCACCGAGCTGGCGCGTTATGCCAATATCGTCCCCGCCGGTGTCCCCCACGCCATCTCCCGGGACGTTTACTTCAACGGGTACACGTTCCCCGCTGACGTCATGATTCTGCCCGTCCTGGACTCCGTGCTGCACGATGAAGCATTGTGGGGAGATCCGCACAACTTCCGGCCGCAACGTTTTCTAGATGAAGATGGCCAGTTCGTTAAGAAAGACGAGTTCATACCATTCTCACTAGGTGAGCTATATTAGAGGTTCATAGACTAGTGTAGCAATATTTGTAGGGCAGTATATAATTAATTTATGACTCAGTTTTACGATGGGGAGGCTAAAAGAACGACCACTGCATCGAGTCTATGTGCAGTGTGTTGAGAAGTTCAGCAACCCTGCAGAGCTTGCATCAAAATGCAACCCTACAGATTTTGCATCAGAATGCAAATATGAAATGTAGATTATGCAATGAATTTAATTGGACTGTCCAACACATTGTCAGTGGATGCCTATCTTTGGCACAAGCACAGTATATTAAGCGACATGATGGCGTAGCTCGATCATTTTATTACTGTCTTCGCCATGCTTGTCGTTTTGACACAGCGGTCGATCCATGGTACGACCCAGAAGGTAGTAGAGGGCGTCATGGAAAATGATCAATACAAAATGCTCTGGAATAGGCCTATATACAGCCTCAGACCTATCCAGGTCAACAGACCTGATCTTGTCCTTTTGATAAATCCAATGAATTATATCATTGAATTTTCTATCCCTTTTGACACTAATGTGATTGACAAGATTCAGGAAAAACATGGCACATATGCAGACCTCGCTTTCGAAATGTCATGTTTGCATCCCAAGTACCAAATTGTCTGACTCCTCATTGTTCTCGGTGCCTTAGATTTGGTACCTCCCCATCTGTTGACTGACATTGGGAGAGTACCCGGGTTTGCTGCCAGGAATACAGCCCTTCTGACAATCTGGGTAATGCAGAAGGCTGCAGTGCTGGGGAGTCTTCACATTCTCCGAAAAGTTCTGGGTGGGTTTGACTAGGCAGCGCTCCCTGGGAGAAGTCCCCTGTTCGCTGTCTGGGCTGCGTGTAGAGGGGCGCAAGAGTCCTGAGCTGATATCAGCCTCACCTGACGGTTCGAGGATCACCCAAACCCGGTTTTAAAGATTCAAGCATTAATGCTATTTGGAAGATTGTTTTCTTGGATGTACTGTAAGCAAAGAATAGGTGAAGAGTGGATGGGACATGATCCGGGAGGGGAAACAAAGAAGATTGTTTTAATCCAATTGTAAAATTAACAATGTGAAATTGACAAAGGGCAATGTTGTATTATTGGCCCTATTCTCGTGTTCTCCACAGGTCGCCGAGCTTGCCTGGGGGAGTCCCTGGCCCGTATGGAGCTGTTCTTGTTCATCACAGGAATGGTTCAGAAGTACCGGTTTGTATGTGTGTCTGACGCTGTGCCGTCCCTCATCCCTGTGTGTGGAATTGTTTTCTCTCCAAAGCCATTTCTTGTGCAAGCTGTTGCACGAATATAACACTGCTTGACCATGTAGTGTTTCATACGGTGCCTTATAGATAATAAAACTAACGTTCATATGATGATGGTCATATTTCTTCTCCTGTTGTTCCAATGGTTAAAGGGGCGGTCGGGTAGCCTCGTGGTTAAAGCGTTCGCTCGTCACGCCGAAGACCCGGGTTCGATTCCCGACTTGGGTACAATGTGTGAAGCCCATTTCTGGTGTCCCCCGCCGTGATATTGCTGGAATATTGCTAAAAGCAGCACCGTTGATACATCTGGTACACACGTTACAGAGGATGTCAATTTAAATTCAGGACACTGTCCACGTTGTACGTGAATGAATTACAAAAAAAAAAATATTACCAGTTTAAGATTATAACAACATTACGTTATATCCAAACCAAGGTATGTAACATGTAAGTGAATGAAAGGCTTGTTTCCTTTGGGCAGCTTTGTACAGTGTTCAGTACTACCACGTTTTCGGGTCTCCATGGGGGAGAAAACGGCTTCGTGTCCTCGATGTTGACACTTTGGTGACGTAGGTAAATCATCATATGGCATATACCTGACGTAGCAAACAATTATACTAATGAACATAGCTTGTGCTTTTGAGTTTACTAAGTGAGTTTTGGTTGACGCCTCTTTTAACAGTATTCCAGTTATAGGACGACCTGTCAGCTAAATGTGGGAGGAAGGTCCGAAGTTATGTAGGTCTCAGACTTTTACCACTTTTGTGAAACCCACGAGCACGGGTATGGTGCTGACAAACCTAGAATCATATAATGGCATGGCATGGTTTCTGGCATGCCCAAAGGACGAACGTCTGCAGAGTGAATTGCGGCGCCATAGACGACTGGGCCTCCCGTGCCCCCGAATTCCCATTAAGGCGTATGTAAAAGGTCATTTGTTACTTAAGGGCTTTAAGTATGGAAAAAAGATTTCCTTTAATACCGCTTTGAACAGTATTTCGGTTATGCAACGGCGTGTCAGCTTAATGTTGGAGCATAGCCCAAGTTGACGTGGCTTGGCATACAGTTCTTCTTGTAAATCGTTACATGCATAAAGAAAATAGTGCACTTACCGGAAGCTACCGAGTTGATGTTATCACTTTCAGTCAAAAAACATTCACCGAAGCCCCGCACATAATGACCATACAAATATATCAACGCAGGTTAGCAGAACGCACGCGTACGTTTGTCGTTAGTATTGCTTGACGAACCCCAGTTCTGTCAACTAATACGCAGTTACACAACAACCACCCCTTAGTGATATCACAACACTACAACCGTTCAAGCAGGACATACAGGACAGGCTTACCCATAGACTAACATTAGTCTATTAAATCATATATTACACAATACCCTTCTCGACTCTAAAATTAAAAAAATAACTTTCATCGTTGATTTCATTGTGGAATAGAGCTGGCGAGAGCTGGCTAGACATGCTTTTGTATACATATGTAGATTGTTGTTTTTTTTATATAAAATATATATTTTCTACAGTCATGCTGCAGGACTAGTTTACCCTATTTACGCACACTCGGTGTCATCACTGAATTTCATGATCCATTCATCACTATTTTGCCTTTCACTCCCATTGGAATCTGCCTCGTCAGATAATCGAGACTGATTATTCTCTGGCGCTGACTTTTTATATCCGCTGTTCACTGGTAGAACACAGTGATTTCGGTTCATTTGTTGTTCAGTTGACAAAGGCATAAAAATCGGTACGTAATAACTGCCTGAACTGCAAGTACATGCATGAGTCGTTCTCCATGCTGACGCGACAGCTGGTGTTGGGAACTCAGGCGTGTCTGACCGCAAGCAACACCGCAGCCACATCCACTACCATGATTGCCGTAAAAGGCGACTATGTTTGCCGTAAGAGGCGACTAACGGGATCGGGTGGTCAGGCTCGCGCGTCGATACCAATTGCGTGGATCGATGCTCAAGATGTCAATCACTGGATTGTCGATTATTTACAAACCGCCGTCATATAGCTGGTTTATTGATGAGTGCGGCGTTAAATAACAAACAAACAAAACATCTAGAAGTACTTGTAGACTATTACAATATGCAGCTGCTACACTGAGAGTCAGACTGGCAGTGGTTCGCGATATGTTGACGGGCCTCTGTCTGTTGACGTTCGGGACCTGTTGACGTTCATGACCTGTTGACTTTATACTGATATCTTGACTTTATACTGATCTGTTGACGTAAATGATCGGTTGATGTTCAAGCTCCTTGACATAGCAGAGGATCTTGGATTTGATATAAGAGATACGCCCCGGATACGCTGAGTACCTTGACATGGTAACGGATCATGGGTTTGAAATGTAGACATAGCCTGGGTGAGCTAATTACCAAGTACATATGTGAATGAGTATGGTTTAACGCCGCTTTGAACAGTATTCCATTTATATCACGCAGTGTCAGCTACTGTGGAAGGAAAGCCCGAAGCGATGCAGGCCTCAGGCGTTTACCACTTTGGTGAAATCCACAAGCACGGGAATGGTGCTGACAAACCTTGAAACATAATCGGGGCGAATCGCAAGCTCATTCCCGCCAAACCCAAATGTAGTGACCTTTATACTTTTGTTTATGTCTTTGGGAATGCCATCGCTGTCAATTTTGAAAGGGTTTACAACTGACTATATTTCCCAGATGAATTTACCTTCTTTGATCGGATTGGTTCGAGTTTGCAGACGAACGGAAAATCAACCAACTTCTCCCTCACATTCTTATTATACCAATTATGTGATAGTTATAATGAAACAGAAATTCAAATAGACAAACAAAGAAAATGATATAGCAGGGGTAAAAGTATTCGAGTCATCACTCGTTTGTAAACATAGTTGCGAGGTCAACTCCAAGCATGGTTGTAGCCACCTATCACAGTGGGGAGCTTTCACTGGTGGCAGCGATAGTATAGAGAGCTCCGCGAAAGGGATATCGCTGTTAGGAGCTTGGTATATGGCGTGCTCAAGGGACGCAATTCTGCACAGCGAATTGCGGCGCCTTAGACGACTGGGGTACCACTGACCCCGCCAAATGTACGAGACATTGAGAAGTTGTTTAGGTAAGCTTGGAGGTACGGGGACAAGGGACGCTGTGTAAATGAAATCAAGATGAGGTCATGAGATATATGCCATCAAGTGAGGTATCAGCACATCAACAGAAGCTCTAGATTTGACTACTCTAATTGGATTGATGCATGCCTACGTATTCCAATTGCGTAGGTCGATGCTCATGATGACAATCACTGGATTGTCTGGTCCAGACTCGATTATTTACAGACCGCCGTCATACACCTGGAAGATTGCTTAAACAACAAACAAAACAACTCAAACGGGAACTTCGGCTTCAATGATGTCCAACTGAGTGTGACACTCGAAAACATGATACATTAAATTACACGCATGTGTCTACACGTGTGTCGTAAATATTTCTCTGTTATATACGATACAAAGAAGCGGACTTCCCTGTTAACTCTACTGAATCTGCTAAAACTAATATAGTATAGAGTTGCTTATTAAAATTTATGGTAGCGTTCACATTTGAATTGCAAACTGGCACTATATGTTTTATGTATTGCGCATGAAAGCCTGTAGTTGAAATACTGAAATGCAGGCTATCAAGTCTATGAGGTCGTGCCCATATTCTCCCATGAATTTGGAAAATACTTGATTTGATTGGTCAGTCAGGGGTATCAAATCACAACAAACCATCTCTGATTGAAACAGAAGATATTACGGCCGTATAACCACTGAAGCTACTATTTTAAGAATACAAACTTCGTTTTGGTCATTGTCTCTCTTAAATAATGTACAATATAGGCTATAAAATGCAAAGTTGCGGTTACTTTGTGTGGATGTGTGGCAATATGTTTTGAGCAGAAAACACGTTAGAAATCTACAAAGAGAATGTATTTCAAGTTTTGAAGACAACAGAGAGCTTGTTATCCGGCGCTTTTCTATATACGACTGTGACGTCATATCGTTTGCGTCACAATTAGGAGATAAACCTCTTATTTTTACATTTGAAAGCTCGCGCTAAAGCGCTCTGTTCCAAATTAATATAAAACGTATCTATTCTACAGTGGGACTACAGTCCTGTACGTGACACTGAACTCTGCCTTGAGACAGGTATTTGTCCGGTACGTGACACTGTACTCTGCCCTGACACAGCTATATCTCCGCCACGTGACACTGTACTCTGTCCTGACACAGGTATATGTCCGGTACGTGACACTGTACTCTACCCTGACAGGTATTTGTCTGGTACGTGACACTGTACTCTGCCTTGACACAGGTATATCTCCTCCACGTGACACTGTACTCTGTCCTGACACAGGTATATGTCCGGTACGTGACACTGTACTCTGCCCTGACACAGATATATGTCCGGTACCTGACACTGTACTCTGCCCTGACACAGATATATGTCCGGTACGTGACACTGTAGTCTGCCCTGATACAGATATATGTCCGATACGTGACACTGTACTCTGCCCTGACACAGGTATATGTCCGGTACGTGACATCGACTCTGCCCTGATACAGATATATGTCCGGTACGTGACACTGTACTCTGCCCTGATACAGATATATGTCCGATACGTGACACTGTAGTCTGCCCTGACACAGATATATGTCCGGTACGTCACACTGTAGTCTGCCCTGACACAGGTATATGTCCGGTACGTGCCACTGTACTCTGCCCTGATACAGATATATGTCCGGTACGTGACACTGTAGTCTGCCTTGACACAGATATATGTCCGGTACGTGTCAGTGTAGTCTGCCCTGACACAGGTATATTTCCGATACGTGACACTGTACTCTGCCCTGACACAGGTATATGTCCGGTACGTGCCACTGTACTCTGCCCTGACACAGATATATGTCCGGTACGTGCCACTGTACTCTGCCCTGACACAGATATATGTCCGGTACGTGCCACTGTACTCTGCCCTGACACAGATATATGTACGGTACGTGACGCTGTACTCTGCCCTGATACAGATATATGTCCGGTACGTGACACTGTAGTCTGCCTTGACACAGGTATTTGTCCCTTACGTGACACTGTACTCTGCCCTGTCACAGATATATGTCCGGCACGTGCCACTGTACTCTGCCCTGACACAGATATATGTCCGGTACGTGACACTGTAGTCTGTCCTGATACAGATATATGTCCGATACGTGACACTGTACTCTGCCCTGACACAAGTATATGTCCGGTACGTGACACTGTACTCTGCCCTGTCACAGATATATGTCCGGCACGTGCCACTGTACTCTGCTCTGACACAGATATATGTCCGATACGTGACACTGTACTCTGCCCTGACACAAGAATATGTCCGATACGTGACACTGTACTCTGCCCTGACACAAGAATATGTCCGGTACGTGCCACTGTACTCTGCCCTCACACAAGTATATGTCTGGTACGTGACACTGTACTCTGCCCTGACACAAGTATATGACTGGTACGTGACACTGTACTCTGCCCTGACACAAGTATATGTCCGGTACGTGCCACTGTACTCTGCCCTGACACAAGTATATGTCTGGTACGTGACACTGTACCGCTGTCTGAAACACTCTATACGCTATCCTGCCTGGTGTTTTTATCTAGGTCATCGATTGACACACGCGAGGTTTATCTCGTAAACCTCAATATTTTCATGTACTGTTAAAGTAGCTCATTATATAATGATATTCACATTACGGACATGCTGGTGCCTACTAGGGCATGTACTGTCCACTGAAAAGTCACTCATAGCACATGACCATGTAACTATTAATAATAACAACAAACAAACGGGAAGACGAGGCCGAAGTATTATGTCAATATAGCCACACCACGCTTTATCAGTCGCGTATTAAGGCTTGCCCAAGTCCCTTAGGCAATGCTTATTAGTTTAAATCATAATATCTGGATTACAAATACTAAAAAACCAAGGATTATTTGTCTCTGGCTTGTACTGTCCGTTATCTAGACTTGCCTGTTAAGGACAGACATACTAAACATCCATGGACTAAATCATTCAGTAGTGAATTGAAGCAAGGCTATGACTAAAGCTCTACTTCCAAAAATGGAGCGGCGAAGGTAAATATGCATAAGATTAGGCTCGTTGAGCTGTGACTCACCTGCGGGCACTCTATACTGTCACCTTGTATGGTTCTGTCGTACCATCGACGCCATAAACACCTCGGTACTGGCCGACATGCGCAATGTCAGCCATGTGTGATGTGTGATATGTGTGATTGTGATTCGCCGCATCAATACACGAACAACACGTAAGCATTGCAGGGTCGTTGCCATAATGCTTGTCGAGAGTCTCACGTCGACGACTGTACTAGTGTTTGTGACGGTGTTGTTGCTGCTTAGATGGCTAACGCGGCGCCCCCCTCACCTCCCGCCTGGCCCCGTTCTCTTCCCCTTGCTGGGAAACCTGTTGTCCCTAGGGCCCGACCCCCGGCCCGTCTTCAGGCGATTACGGAAGGCGTACGGGGATATCTTCTGTGTGTTTATCTGCCACAGGCCTGTCGTCGTGCTCAACGGCTACGATGTGATCCGCGACGCTGTCGTTAAGAACGGCGACGTCTTTTCCAACAGACCTCACTCATTCTTCTCCGACATCATCAACGACAACAGAGGTAAATTCACTCTTTTGTGACTTTCCACGTGTAAGATATATTTGTAGGTTGTAAATTTGTAAGAGATGTGTAGGGTGTGTGTGTGTGTGTGTGTATGAGTCTTCTGTGACTTTGACGTATGTGTAGGATGGCCATGTGTGTGATATCTTTATAGGATGGCATGTGTTGATGTCTGTGTAGGAAGTCAATGAGTTAGGTTTCCGTGAAGTATGTCCATGTGTGATCTGTTCAGGATGGCATTTCTGAGACGTCTGTGTAGGGTGCACATGTGTGAGATGTGTGTGTAGGGTGCACATATGTGAGATATCTGTGTAGGGTGCACATATGTGAGATGTGTATGTAGGGTGCACATGTGTAAGATGTGTGTGTAGGGTGCACATATGTGATATCTGTGTAGGGTGCACATTGTGAGATGTCTGTGTAGGATGCACATTGTGAGATGTCTGTGTAGGATGCACATTGTGAGATGTCTGTGTAGGGTGCACATATGTGAGATGTGTATGTAGGGCCACATGTGTAAGATGTGTGTGTAGGGTGCACATATGTGATATCTGTGTAGGGTGCACATATGTGATATCTGTGTAGGGTGCACATTGTGAGATGTCTGTGTAGGGTGCACATTGTGAGATGTCTGTAGGGTGCACATATGTGATATCTGTGTAGGGTGTACATTGTGAGATGTGTGTGTAGGGTGCACATATGTGATATCTGTGTAGGGTGCACATTGTAAGATGTCTGTGTAGGGTGCACATTGTAAGATGTCTGTGTAGGGTGCACATTGTGAGATGTCTGTGTAGGATGCACATAGTGAGATGTCTGTGTAGGGTGCACATATATGATATCTGTGTAGGATGCACATTGTGAGATGTGTGTGTAGGTGCACATATGTGATATCTGTGTCGGGTGCACATTGTGAGATGTCTGTGTAGGGCGCACATTGTAAGATGTCTGTGTAGGGTGCACATTGTAAGATGTCTGTGTAGGGTGCACATTGTGAGATGTCTGTGTAGGATGCACATAGTGAGATGTCTGTGTAGGGTGCACATATGTGATATCTGTGTAGGATGCACATTGTGAGATGTGTGTGTAGGGTGCACATATGTGATATCTGTGTAGGGTGCACATTGTGAGATGTCTGTGTAGGGTGCACATTGTGTGATGTCTGTGTAGGGTGCACATTGTGTGATGTCTGTGTAGGATGCACATTGTGTGATGTCTGTGTAGGGTGCACATTGTGTGATGTCTGTGTAGGGTGCACATGTGTCATGTCTGTGTAGGGTGCACATTGTGAGATGTCTGTAGGGTGCACATATGTGATATCTGTGTAGGGTGTACATTGTGAGATGTGTGTGTAGGGTGCACATATGTGATATCTGTGTAGGGTGCACATTGTAAGATGTCTGTGTAGGGTGCACATTGTAAGATGTCTGTGTAGGGTGCACATTGTGAGATGTCTGTGTAGGATGCACATAGTGAGATGTCTGTGTAGGGTGCACATATGTGATATCTGTGTAGGATGCACATTGTGAGATGTGTGTGTAGGGTGCACATATGTGATATCTGTGTAGGGTGCACATTGTGAGATGTCTGTGTAGGGTGCACATTGTGTGATGTCTGTGTAGGGTGCACATTGTGTGATGTCTGTGTAGGATGCACATTGTGTGATGTCTGTGTAGGGTGCACATTGTGTGATGTCTGTGTAGGGTGCACATGTGTCATGTCTGTGTAGGGTGCACATTGTGTGATGTCTGTGTAGGGTGCACATTGTGTGATGTCTGTGTAGGGTGCACATGTGTCATATCTGTGTAGGGTGCACATTGTGAGATGTCTGTGTAGGATGCACATTGTGAGATGTCTGTGTAGGATGCACATTGTGAGATGTCTGTGTAGGGTGCATATATGTGATATCAGTGTAGGGTGCACATATGTGATGTCGGTGTAGGGTGAGTATGTGTGAGTGTAAGAAGTCTATGTGTGAGTCTTCTTGAAGACATGAAGTCTAAAACTGGGTTGCTGCCTCGGAATTCTAGATCCAGCTGCGATTATGATGCTAAACACCCGCGTCATTCTGCCAAACCTCCAACACCACTCCATCCCACCACCCCACACCCCCAAACCCCACCTACGAAACCCCAATTTAGCTGTAAAATAACCGAAATACTGGTAAAGACATTAAATCCAACTCACTCACGTTGTATCGCCAGGCATCATGATGACTTCCGGGAAGATGTGGAAGGAGCAGCGGACATTTGCTCTGACCACGCTGCGAGAGTTCGGGATGGGACGGAGTCTGCTGGAGGAGAAGATCCAAGAGGAGACGGAGCAGTTCTTAAACGCCGTGGCAGCCCGACAGGAAGAACCCCAGGACCTGAAGCATCTCATCACGAACTCGGTATCCAATATCATATGTTCAATCGTGTTCGGGCGGCGCTTTGAGTACACGGATCCACGGTTTGTGCGGTATCTGGAGGTCACGAACGAGAACATTGAGAACCTTCAAATCACAGGAATACTTCAGATTCTACCATTCCTAAGGCATCTTCCCGGGGACGCGTTCCGGCTGAAGAAAACGGTACACAATGTGGATGTAGTCCAAGATGAGTTTATTGAGCCAATGGTACAAGAACACATTGACAACTACGACGAGGGTGACGTGAACGACTTCATCGCGGCCTACATTAAAGAGATGAGACATCGCCAGCAACAAGGGGAGACAACCATGGAAGGTGTGTATGTTTGCTGAGCAACATGTTTATCAATACAAATAACAATTCCGTGTGAAAGATTCGCTGTGCAGAGTTGCGTCCCTTGGCCACGCTCAGAAAACTATGATTGTGGGTTCGAATTACGGTTCGCCAAAATTATGTTTCTAGGTTTGTCAGCACCATACCCGTACTCGTGGGTTTCACCGAGGTGGTAAACGTCAGAGACTTGCATCACTTCAGACTATCCTCCCACATTAAGCGGACACGCCGCGATAAAACTGTAATACTGTTAAAAGCGGCGTTTCACCCAACTCACTCACTTAATCACCTTGTGAAAGATATTGATTTTGTAGGTTATTTTATATGGTGGCTGGTATCAGTCCTCGTACCAGTGTCTTTTGTGATCTAATTATGTTATCGGGGCGGTGGGGTAGCCTTGTGGTCAAAGCGTTGGCTCGTCACGCCGAAGACCCAGGTTCGATTTCCGACACGGGTACATTGTATGGAGCCCATTTCTGGTGCCCCCGCCGTGATATTGCTGGAATATTGCTAAAAGCGCCGTAAAACCATACTCACTCACTCACTCTCTCACTCACTCACTCACTCACTCACTCACTCATTATGGTATCATTTTACACATCATCTTTACGTTTGTTCAATTTCTTCAGTAAAGACCCTCCTGAAGGTGATCATGGATTTATTCGTGGCTGGGTCTGAAACTACATCGACAGCCATCCGATGGGTTCTAGCGTTGTTTCTCAACTACCCGGATGTTCAGGATAGGTGTTTTCGGGAGATTGATACGCACATCGGCGTGAACAGACGACCAGGTATGAAGGACAAGATCAGCCTTCCGTACGTTGAAGCCACGATCATGGAGACCCTAAGGTACTGCGATATCGCCCCTCTCGCCGCCCCCCACTGTGTAGCGCGGTGTACACAGTTCCGGGGCTACACCCTGCCGGAGGGTGCGTCCGTCATGGTCAACCTGGACTCCGTGCTACAGGATCAGGGCATCTGGGGGGACCCGCAAAACTTCCGACCAGACAGATTTCTAGACAGTTCAGGAAAAGTATTTAAACCGGAAGAATTCATTCCATTTTCTATAGGTAAGTAAAAATCGTGCTTGCAATTGCACCCACAGCTGCTCTTATTAAACTATGCTTGGATACAATTATAGAAATATGGTGGTTTTCATATTCACACACTGTCGACACATAGCAGTCAACTCAGCGATCCACTGTGCATGTTTATATTTAAAAAACAGCAATCCATTAAGTTATCTTGGACAGAGAATGACCATGCTATGAACTGCCTCACCAGAGAGAGTTTCTTATCACGGATATCACTGGGTTTTTTTTAATACTGTATTTGATACATCCAAATGATATATTGTTTGCATGTATAAAAGCAAGATCATATCGGACGTTATTTGTCATATTGATTTTAAGTTTCATTAATTTGTTCAATAGTTTAACCGAATGGTCTCAAATACAATCATGGGTAAGGCGTTTTCTCGTCACGCCGACGCCCCGAAAACCGAGTTCCCTAAATGGGTGAAGCCCATTCTCTGTGCCCCTCCCCGCCCCGTCGTGATATGTGCAAACAGCGGCGTAAAAACAAACTTCTTCACCCGCCCGTGCTTTTTTTTATTCGCAGGGCACCGGGTGTGTCTCGGAGAGTCTCTAGCCCGGATGGAGTTGTTCCTGTTCGTAACCGCCCTGGTTCAAACCTTCCACTTCACGTCCCCCGGTCAACCCCCAACCCTGGAAGGGGTCCTGGGACTCACATACTTCCCCAAACCATTCGAGGTTATAGCAACACCAAGAACATAAAACAGGCGTGACGTTTTGTACTACAATCTGTGACAGCCAGTCGAACAGGACAGCTGCTACGTAGTAAGCAAAGGTCACGCTTGAAGTCTCTGTTGATGAAAATGTAGAACCGACCTGAAACTCGCCCAACCACCTTCGAACTCTCTCGCCCAACCACCTTCAATCTATCCCGCCCAACCACCTTCAAACTCACTCTCCCAACCACCTTCAATCTATCCCGCCCAACCACCTTCAAACTCACTCGCCCAAACACCTTCATACTATCTCTCCCAACCACCTTCAATCTATCCCGCCCAACCACCTCCAAACTATCTCGCCCAAACACCTTCAATCTATCCCGCCCAACCACCTTCAAACTCACTCTCCCAACCACCTTCAATCTATCTCGCCCAACCACCTTCAAACTCACTCGCCCAACCACCTTCATACTATCTCTCCCAACCACCTCCAAACTATCTCTCCCAACCACCTTCAATCTATCCCGCCCAACCACCTCCAAACTCACTCTCCCAACCACCTTCAATCTATCTCGCCCAACCACCTTCAAACTCACTCTCCCAACCACCTTCAATCTATCTCGCCCAACCACCTTCAAACTCACTCGCCCAACCACCTTCAATCTATCCCGCCCAACCACCTTCAAACTCACTCTCCCAACCACCTTCAATCTATCTCGCCCAACCACCTTCAAACTCACTCGCCCAAACACCTTCAATCTATCTCGCCCAACCACCTTCACACTATCTCGCCCAACCACCTTCACACTATCTCGCCCAACCACCTTCACACTATCTCGCCCAACCACCTTCACACTATCTCACCCAACCACCTTCAATCTATCTCGCCCAACCACCTTCACACTCACTCGCCCAAACACCTTCAATCTATCTCGCCCAACCACCTTCAAACTATCTCGCCCAACCACCTTCACACTATCTCGCCCAACCACCTTCACACTATCTCGCCCAACCACCTTCACACTCACTCGCCCAAACACCTTCAATCTATCTCGCCCAACCACCTTCAATCTATCTCGCCCAACCACCTTCACACTATCTCGCCCAACCACCTTCACACTATCTCGCCCAACCACCTTCACACTATCTCTCCCAACCACCTTCAATCTATCCCGCCCAACCACCTTCACACTATCTCTCCCAACCACCTTCACACTATCTCTCCCAACCACCTTCAATCTATCTCGCCCAACCACCTTCACACTATCTCTCCCAACCACCTTCAATCTATCCCGCCCAACCACCTTCACACTATCTCGCCCAACCACCTTCACACTATCTCTCCCAACCACCTTCAAACTATCTCTCCCAACCTCCTCCAAACTATCTCGCCCAACCACCTTCAATCTATCTCTCCCAACCACCTTCAATCTATCTCGCCCAACCACCTTCACACTATCTCTCCCAACCACCTTCAATCTATCTCGCCCAACCACCTTCACACTATCTCGCCCAACCACCTTCACACTCACTCTCCCAACCACCTTCACACTATCTCGCCCAACCACCTTCACACTATCTCGCCCAACCACCTTCACACTATCTCGCCCAACCACCTTCAATCTATCTCGCCCAACCACCTTCAAACTATCTCTCCCAACCAACTTCAATCTATCTCGCCCAAACACCTTCACACTATCTCTCCCAACCACCTTCAGTCTATCTCGCCCAACCACCTTCACACTATCTCGCCCAACCACCTTCACACTATCTCTCCCAACCAACTTCAATCTATCTCGCCCAAACACCTTCACACTATCTCTCCCAACCACCTTCAATCTATCTCGCCCAACCACCTTCACACTATCTCGCCCAACCACCTTCACACTCACTCTCCCAACCACCTTCAATCTATCCCGCCCAACCACCTTCAATCTATCCCGCCCAACCACCTTCAAACTCACTCGCCCAAACACCTTCATACTATCTCGCCCAACCACGTTCGTTCAAACCCTCTCGCCGAACCACCTTCAAACTCTCTCGCTGAGGAACTTCTACACCAAATCAGAACTAGTCCTTCAACAAGCGTTTTCGTACAGCCTTCAGTGCAAGTTGAATCATATGGCAGCTATGATTGGATGATTTTATGTAAGATGTTTATGTTTTTTAAATAAACACCCATCAAGTAATTAAAACTGACCATGTTTTTCCATATTTAGTGCTAACTTTTTTTTTACCATGATGGCTTATGCTAAATGTGACCACAGATATGTTCAAGCAAGTGACATTTGGTGCGAAAATGGGGGTGGTGTGTTCAGCTTCTTGAGTTCGAAAAAGGAGCTGGCGAAGCTAGTGTACTTGTCAAATGTTTCTGTTTTTATTGTTATTTTTTAAGCCAGCAAGTGAACACATGTGCATGTAATAGCTGTTGAATGCTTGGTTATTTAAAAAAAACAAAAAAAAACTATAACGTTACTATATCAGTCTATGGGAAAACATTTGGTTGTGTGTAACCTCAACGACCTTCAAACTCACTCGCTTAACGACCTTCAGTAACTGAGGCGGTACCAAATCACCCAATCACGTGCAGCGATTTCCAGGCAGACTGAAACTTTAGAAGCACACTACGATATATGTCTTGTTCCTCGCTATATGAAATGACTGTCCAACTATACTGACCAATCATTGTCCTAATTATGGAATAAGGAACTGGGAAGACAACGGGCACCACTAAGTCTAGTTACATATTTGGAAAACTAAGACATTAGCTCTATGACTTCAGTAGAAACAAGTGGTCTAGTGGATGGAGCGTCTACCCGGAGAGCGGTGGTTCGATCCCCGGCCGCAAAAACACGCTTAAAGAAGGTACTTGTTGCTACCGTCTGACTTTTGGCATTGGGGAGATAAACAAGGACTGGTCGGCGCGGAGTTAGATTACTGTTCTGAGTGGGGTATCCATGTTAAACTGTGGCATGGTGTGGCAACGGGCTAGCGCTACAAAAACGGGCATTAGTCCAGACTAATACAAGCAGAGACACACACACGCGCCATCACACGTACACGCACGTCGCTATATAAGTGCAATAATCTTAAACGCTATGTTAAACTCCCTTTCTCCTCACTTCACTTTATAAACAGCGTCCTTATGAGAAACTATCAGGCGCCGTCCAATTTTGATCTTATGTTGTACCAAGGTGTATATGTTTTATACCCTGCTTTGTAAATAATAGTATTATATCATAATAGCCATTTTCATTTGACTATGCTTGTTTTTACGCCACGGGACCCGTGAAGATTCAGGAGTCTTCAGCAACCCATGCTTGCCGTAACAGGTGACTATGCTTGTCGTAAAAGGCGACTAACGGGATCGGGTGGTCAGGCTCGCTGACTTGGTTGATGCATGTCATCGATCCCAAGTGCGTGGATCGATGCTCATGACATCAGTCACTGGATTGTCTGGTCCAGACTCGATTATTTACAGACCGCCGTCATATAGCTGGAATACTGCTGAGTGCGGCGTTAAACAACAAACCAACCAACCAACCAATTTTACGCCACGGTCAGCAAAATACAAGCTACATCATAGAGACCTGAAGATAATCGAATCAGGGTCACGCAAACCAGTGGCTGAAAGAATGAGCAACGACCCAATTTATGGCCAAATGAAACCAGCTACAGGGTGCTGGGGACCACCTATTCTGACCCGGGTCATGGCGAGGGCGTTAAGAAAATAAACACGTTTCTTCAGACAATGAAGTATATGTATTTCTAAAATGATTTCCCCAGTGAAGTTATCAAGAGCAATTAAGGTATATCCGGAGGTATGGGTATCAGATTGTTCCTCAATGATTGTAGTAGTGATACACCACGACATTGGTGCCAGCGTTACTATAAACTATTCGTTTCTCATATCGATAAAAGACATCTTTAACAATCGATCCGTTGGTTAAACACTTTCAGACACACAGAATTGTATGTTAATTGTATGTTAATGTTTTTGCAATTTCTAAATCGTCAACCCCTAGCTGATGAAAATACATCGACAGACGACACCAGCTTATGAATATAGGTAGATATGTACTAAATACATGGCTATCTTTTTGACACAAAGGATGCAACAACCATGCAATACCTAAGGATCGACATCAGACAAAATCTTCATGTGCTGGAGAGAGGGGAGTGGAGAAAAGATGCCCGACACAATTCCCTATTTTGACTTGTACCATATGTTCCTGTGATTATTCTTTTTCAGGTGAACAATTGACTTGCCTTTGCGTATGTTTGTGACGGGTGCCACTGGTTGGGCAGCATACGCTCACCTTTTCGCGAACACCTTGTATCATTACAATTGCATAGTGATTCATATATGCATGCTCATGATATAGTGGGAATCGTACACTCGATTCTGCGTTTTGGAAGAGATTTCTTATGAATAGGGAAAGGGTTTTGTCGGTTTCATCTACTATGTTCACAACAGGTGTGTCCTGCAAGTATAACCATTCTTGATATGCCTGGGTTAGAATGGCATATCTGATTAGACATAAAAATGTACCGGTCTTTATGCACATGAAATCCATAACCAAGATAACAATACCAAATCTTCATACATTTATACAGCCTTAGAAAATCGTGATTAAATGGCTAGTCCAGAGGACCGGTGTAAACCATGTTTTAGCTAATCCTGCTTGAACGAGACAAAACTGATTACTATGTTCTCATTTTCTGTCAGTTTTATTTAGTTTCAGTTCGTAGCAAAACGTGAAGCATTGGTACCTGTTTCAAATTGCAACCCTCAACTGCTACATACATGTATCAATGAGGACCGCCCTAACTGGAATTTTGCTTTCCCAAGCACAATTTGGTAGTCACGGCTAGCGGACAAGATTCAATTTCAAAGGTTGAGAGAAAAAGAGGGAACGAGAGGGAGAGTTCGCTTTCAATATTGCGATTTATAAATATTCGATTTGAAATCCCTACGTGGAGAAATGTACCCATTCTCTGAGACTTACCTTATTTCTTTGTCGCGACCTTCTTCCCTGTAGCACTACGGAGTCGGTTCACTTTCCTCTGATGTCTCTCATCATCAATCACAAACAAACAAAGTGGTCCTCGCATCAGGTGTGAATCTAGCCTGCCCAAAATGAGCGAACAGCAGAGGACATACTGCAGCTGTAGTCTTCACGGAGTCCTCAGCGGCCATACAATTTGAACACATGTATCTGACAGTGTTAACGTACACAGTTCAGCGTCAGTTGTATCCACGATCAACTAATTTAGAAGTGGTCTTCACGGAGTCCTCAGCGGCAATACAATCTGAACACATGTATCTCTAACAGTGTTAACGTACACAGTTCAGCGTCAGTTGTATCCACGATCAACTAATTTAGTAGTGGTCTTCACGGAGTCCTCAGCGGCCATACAATCTGAACACATGTATCTGACAGTGTTAACGTACACAGTTCAGCGTCAGTTGTATCCACGATCAACTAATTTAGTAGTGGTCTTCACGGAGTCCTCAGCGGCCATACAATCTGAACACATGTATCTGACAGTGTTAACGTACACAGTTCAGCGTCAGTTGTATCCACGATCAACTAATTTATGGCATCTCAACGCGGCGATGACTAATGTCAAGCATACCAAATATGTCATCGGCATTCTGCACGAGTCTACAATGCTAATCAAGCGGAATCATGTTCATGCAGGCGAATACTATGTGTTATGTTTTCTAATGACAAGTTCTAGTTCGTGTGACCTACATCAGGAACATCATCGTATCTATATGCTGAGGTGCATTATCGAATATTTTCAATACTTTCAAGGAATGTACTTGGACGAGTCGTGCATAACCTATGAAATGTGTTCACCCTTAAACTACTATCATACACACTGTGACCCACAAGTTTTATGGTGATAGCAGTTTTCATATCATACCGATATCAACCTTTCTGCCCTCGAGCTGATATGGGGGTCTCGGGTTTATATGGGGTCCGAAATGAAAACTGTCATTTAATAACCCTTCTATCATATACCATAACTTCAAATTGTAAAATGTATCTATTTGCAAGTGTATGCAATACCTTATCACCTTATTTGGAAGACATTGTCACGGGAAAGCGAGACGAGCAGACGACGCACTAAGGGACGTAACTCCCATTTTCTTACCCCTGGGTTGACATCGAACGTCCACTAAAAAAGAATTGACAAGCCATATCAGCCCTGCTGGGTTGTTATACGGGTCTGGTTATTACACCCCCTGTGATATGAACGTCACTATGTTGGCTCTATCTCACATGCAAAATGCCTCATATCATTGATAGGTATATAATATCATTTATTCTATTGCCATACAACGATCTCACCAAAGCGAGGAGTTATAACATACAGGGTTGACTGATAAGTGCTGAGCCTAACACAGAATGAATTGTGTGATAAAGAACTATGTTGTAGTGGATATAACATAATGTCATAGAGATATATCCACGACTGATGATGAAGAAAACAGAGTTCTGTGCCACTTATAAATAGATTTTTCCGATGCGAGTGTTCTGATTGGTCAATGACAGTCACATTGGTGATGACGTCAAAAAGCTCGCCAGTGGTCGCGACGTGTGATTCAAAACCTGGGGAGGCCGAACTAATAAATTAAAAGGTGAATGCCAGAGGGTAGCCTGTGTTGAGAGTTGGGCTACGAGATAAGTAGACACATATTCTATTGGAAAATACTCCTTTAAACACTCTAGCGTTTTAACGTGGTGATGAAATAATCAGTGTACTCGCAGTGAGGTGAGGTGAGGTGAGGTGAAATTGGGTTTAACGTCGCGTCCAAGATTATTGCACTTTGTAGCGACGTGCATGCACGTGGATGTGTGTGTGTGGCTGCGTATACTAGTCCGGACTGATGCCGATTTATAGTGCTAGCTCACTGAGATACCATACCGCAGTTTTACATGAATACCCCACTCAGACACACTATACTGACGCCGACCAGTCCTTGTTTTAGCCCCTTAATGCCGAGCGCCAAACAGGGTAACAACAAGTACAATCTTTTAACGTCTTTTTGTATGACGCGGTCGGGGATCGAACCCCGGACCTTCCGCTCTCCGGTACTCGCAGTGTAATTGTTTTATAAAACAAAAGCTTATAGAACAAGTCAATAATATATTAACCAAACTGCTAAGGCAGCAATATTATTTTTACGGATTAAAGTTTAACCTTTTGATCTAAATCAAGTTAGTATTTATAAAACACATAAACACTGCAGTCTTTGAAAAGTCCGCTTACGTCTTGAGCAGGGTTGACTGACCGAACCAACCTTGGCGGTTCACTGTATACGATAGACCTGACTCGACATGTCTGGACTTGTGAGAGCTGAACCATCGAAAAACTGAATATTTACATATTAAGCTGTTATCATCTACAAGACTAAGGACCGCCTCACTGGTCTAGTGGTAGAGTGTCCGCCCAGAGAGCGGAAGCTCCGGGGTTGGATCCCCGGGCACGTCATACCAAAATACGTTAAAAGATGGTACGTGTTGTTACCCTGCCTCGCGCTCGTCATTAAGGGGCTAAAACAAGGACTGGTCGGCTCGGAGTCAGTATACTGAGTGGGGTATTCATGTAAAAATGCGGCATGGTATATCAGTGAGCTAGCATTATAAATCGGCATCAGACCGGACTAGTACAAGCAGCCACACACATGTGCATGCACGTCGCTAAATAAACTTGCCCAAGACTTGCCTGGGCCTTTAGTAAGGCCTTTAGCCTTTCTTAAACTATCAATTCCACGGTCATGGCGTAGGACTAATCATCTACTTAAGGAGTCAGCGGCTTTATCTGATTGCAAGACCCGCTTTCTTTTAAATCAGATCAGTTTGAATCATCGGTATAGACGCAGCTTCGGAAGGGTGCTCTCATATTTTCTCGTTTCAAATCAGGAGCTACCAAAGCATAGCGAGTAAGATTGTATGATTTATATCAACACAAGAGTCAATCAAGAATGAAGAGACATTCAATTGAAGTCATCCAAGAGCCAAAACGGACGTGTTTACCACAAGCAAGTGATAACTCGCCAGCCAGATAGAAACCATGTATCTGGTGTGGACACCACAAGCGTTTACTCCCCGGTAAACGCTTTTGCAAGGGACGCTCCCACAAAGACCGGGAATGCCGCCAATGCATAGACCGAAACCAGAGCATTTCTACAGAGACCAAGTGCACGTTTGTGACAGCTGTGAGCGGCGAAGGGGACGATACGAGGAGTAGTGTTTCAGTTTCTCCAAATGAGACGAACAATATTGAACAATTTTTTTACAGTTTCTTGAAGATGAAAGAGTTCATACTGACATTATTTTACATGACTTTCTTACAAAGAAAAAGACATGAAGTGGGTTTTAACACTTAAACTAAAATTTATCAAGTATGAAGAAGAGTGAGTGAGTGAGATTTTACGCCGCTTTTAGCAATATTCGGGGGACACCAGTAATGGGCTTCAGACATTGTACCCATGTCGGGAATCGAACCCGGGTCTTCGGCGTGACGAGCGAACGCTTTAACCACTAGACTACCCGAACGCCCAGTATGAAGTAGAAAAGAAGAAGAATATTTATTATACATAAACACCCACAGGTGGCAGGGTACAAACCATGAACACGACTTATTAAAAACATTGACATACACAATAGAATACAAATATTGCTATGGTTATATTGCCAGAGAGGAGATGCAGATATTCTTTGCCTAAACATTTTGTGAATGAAATCGGATATATTTTATCCAAAAGCCTCTGGTGTATTTAATAGTATTTTAAGCGATGCTGGGCGCATATCTGAGGCGGGTGATAAATTTAGTTCCTGTCTCAGGTATTTGTAGAGAGGGCATCGCAATTGGAAGGTTTCCTCATCTTCTATTTCATCAATATCACAGAAGGTATATATTCTTTCTTTTTTATCCCGAGGTGTTTGAGCTTATGTGGTTTAGTGGATGGGGCTTTGTCAGTTTCACTGAGGTATATGGACATGAACTTTTCATGTACAGTTTTTCAGAAGGTATGTTGTTGTGAGCCAGACCAGGGAAAAGGTAGTTCAGTAGAGGATTTATTGAAGAGGTTCAAGAGTTCAATGATATGATGAAAACAACGAATCCCACTTGGCAGAACCTAGCCTTAGGAGTGTGAATTTTACTACCGCGCTTATCTAGCATTCACAAAATTACACTCGGCCTTCTCAGGATTTCCCAAAACAGGGAAGTGGGTTGTTGTTAGACAAAATTATTCACATAGAAGTTAATGAAGCAGAATATGTCTTTTATTCTTCCAGCGGTTATGTTCCCCTTCCTGACTATCTTACCCATTAGGGGGCACGGGTGGCCCAGTCTTCTAAGGCGCCGCGATTCGCTGTGCAGAGTTGCGTCCCTTTGGCATGCCAGAAAACTATGTTTGTGGGTTCGAATCCCGGTTCGCCCCGATTATGTTTCTAGGTTTGTCAGCACCGTACCCGTGCTCGTGGGTTTCACAGAAGTGGCAAACGTCTGAGACCTGCATCCCCTCGGGCCTTCCTCCCACATTAAGCTGACACGCCGTGATATAACTGGAATACAGTTAAAAGCTGCGTTAAACCCAACTCACTCACTCACTCTCACCCAAAAGAAAGCCATACTTAACATTAAGAATGAAGGTAATACATGTTTTCCTTGGTCTGTGTTTTCAGCTCTACACCCTGTTGGTGGACTAAACCATCCAGTAGGGTTGGTAAATACACACAGTACGAATCGGAGCTCAACTTCGAGGGAATTGATATGCCAATCACTCTGGCTCAAATTCAAAATTTGAAAAGCAAAACAATATATTTTTGAATGAGTGTAGTTATGATCCAGAGGATGGGTTATTTCCCTTAAATAAAAATGCTTTAAATCTTACAAAAGAAATCAATTTGCTTCTTATCAGTCAGGATGGCCAGAGACAGTTTTGTTAAATCACACGTTTTAGCAGACTAGTGGAGGATAGGACAAACACACAATGAACAACCTTATTTTGTAAACATTGTCTACATTGGTTTAATCACAAACCGTATTGTACTCCTCATGGCGTACAAAAGGTCAGTCTTCCAGAAAAGGATGAGACATGGTGAAATATAAAAAATATTCGTAATTAACTTTGTGTTCCATTTGTCATATCAGCGGATTTGGAATCTATTATCAGTGAAGTCAGATGTTGTAAACCCCACCCTGAGTCTTCTTACACAACTGTCTATCAAATGCAGGAACCTTCTGGATATTGTTGTAAAGTGATTTGTAGATATTCCGCTTATTACAAACCAGGGTGACGTTTCGCGAAAGTCTTTCAGCGCTTCGAGTATAGATAAAGCTAGTCAACATTCATTCGAGCATGATTCACATTGTAACAATTGCAATGAAGGACTACCTGATCAACTTAGACATAATAGAGACATAACCCTTCTGAAAGTTACAGAAACACTCCGTTACCTTACATGTCATACAGCTGCAGGTTGCGACGGAATTCCATCGGGATTACTTAAACATTCTACAATTCAAATATTTCCGATACCAATGAATTTGTTTAATGAAATAATGAAAA